ACCATGTGGGAGTGTCCAGCGCCTTAACCACCATGCCACCTGCTGGTCCCTATTTCTTTAATAATATTTAATTAGTAGAATCCAAGAAGTGGGACACTGGTTTTTATTACTGGCAAGGGCTGGAGCTGGGCTTCTTAGCTACTTAGGGGGTCTGGAGCCCTGCAAGATTTGGTGGGTATGTTTATTTTTCTGGGGTGAGAGTCTCTGACTTTTAGATTTCTAAAGAAGGTTGAGACCCAAATAGATCAGCAGAAGCTAGATCTCATAGTGGCTGTAGTTTGAGACCCCAGCCTGATCAGACTAAAACACACTGGTCAGCTGGCTTTCCACCACATCCTTGTTCATGGTGCCTCCCAAGAGCAGTTGTATAATTAAAAAGGCATCATTTTGTCCTCAGGTATTTTTAGTAAGCCACGTTAGGCACTGGGAAGGCACTAAGAAGAGGCCCCTGTTTCCTCAGCGAGCTCACCACATGCATCAGGACGTAACCTCACGAACGGAAGACAGCTGCTGGGACCCCTTGCCTTTTGCTGACAGAGGTGAACCCAAAACATTCCTTTCTTTTCCAGCCCACTCCCCTGTACATACTGATGATAGGAGAAACAATGAGGAGATGAGGAAGGCTGGTCTTTATTGAGTGCTTGCTATATGCTAGGCATTTTTCTCAGCCTATGAGAAAGTAGTATTTATTTTCCTCAGTTAATAAAAGAGGATCAGAGAAGTTGAGTCACTTGCTCGTGATCACACAGGAAGTGGCAAAGTCTGCATCAAACCCAGGCAGTGATACCCTTCTCACACTCCCAGCAAACTGGGCGCACTGGCTTGGACGCGCCTTTCCCCACTGTGGCTCAGTTTTATCCAGTCCCTTTTCTGTTAGGCTTTTTACTCTCCACTTTCAGACATCTGCTTTTCCTCTAGAGGGCTTTCTCTGTTTACCCAACTAGAAGCGAAATCTGTTCCTTTTCTTTACTTCCGGATTATTTGAAGCTTGCAGGCAATGTTCACATCTGGCCTTTGTTGGAGGGTGTCACCGGGTGTTGGGTTGCAGTCAGGCAGACATGAATGCATATCCCACCTTGTGAGTCATTTACCCCTTTCAGGGTCAGACTTCCTCTGCTGGGGAGTAGGAGCACCTGCCTTCCAGCGTTGGTTGTGAGGATTGAGTGAGATTATCTGAAGCCTGTGTGTCCTGCTTGGTGTAGTGGGAGCTCAGGACGTGGCCACAGTGATAGTGAGACATGCAGGTTATGGTTAGCATAGTGATCCAGCCTATCGGGTTTTTCCTCCTAAGTGTCTCTGGAATCTGCTTGCCCAGAACCCTTTATGTTCTTACCTTGTGAAGCAGTTCTTCCCTGCCTCAAAGATACAGCTGCCCTGTCACTGCCTCTGAGTTGTTCGCAGCAGTCCAGGCTGCATTTGCTTACCTCCTCTGTGTCCTCCCACTCATCCCAGCACTGCAGCATAACGGCCTGTTGGGTCCGTTGTTTCTGCCCAGATGGGAACTCCCTGTGGGCAGGCTGGCTCCTCATTCATCCCTGCATCCAGGTGCCTGGTACAAGCATGAAGAACGAGCATTGTTAAGTATTCACTGCCAGGTACTAGTGAGATGGGAAGGAGGAGGGTCTTGTAGGAGAAACCAGGCCCTGGTATTTGTACTAAACTCTGTGACTGCTAGGTTTTCAGTCGAGAGTACTATTTCAAAAGACGCTTCTGAAGTAGTAGCAATGTGCACGATGGATCAGTGTGGAAAGGGAACTGAAGATGGGTCAGTCGATTACAAGTCTGTCCTGCATAATGGTCCTCTCTTGCTTGTTCAAATATGGATGAGATAACTGGATGCTTTTTATTTGAAAAGATGCTCTTCTCTCACTGCCGCACACATTGCAGCTTTTAGGTATAGGAAGATTTGCCTGAGAGATGGGAGTAGCATTTTCATGACATGCATCCTAATCTTTTGGAATAACCTGACAGATGGTGCCCTGTCACCTGTGTGGAAGCAATTTCCACCAAGAAATTCAAAGCATCAGTTGTTATCATCTTCCTATGAATTCCACAATAACCGTTTGTCATTTGGTTTTAGAGAACTCTGTTGATAGGGGAATGGGTGAAATACAGTTGTCAGTGAGCGATTGCTAGAGCCCCAAAGGGTCTCTCTCTCTCTCTCTTAAAAAAATTTCTCTTTACTCATGATAGAGTATGTACATATGCATGTGAGGATGGGGATAGGGCAGAGGGAAGGGAAGAGCCCCCCTCCACAGGGCTTGGTCATGCTACATCCCCTCCTTCCAGTCCTCCAGCCCATCAGACCCTGGGTGCTCACATGTATGCTTGGTATATTTCATGCTTACTGGGCCAACATTCGAACCACATCATCCTGTGGGATCCAACGTCTCTTGAGTAACACATTACCACAGCATCGTGGAACTGGCCCCCAAAAGATCACTTATTTGAGTAAGGGGACACTCTTGCTGGTGGCATCAGGGCACTTCCTTCTGAGCTCATGGTTATTTTAGGAATGGAAGAGAGTTTTTCAATGATTTTAAGATGAATTTATGATCAGGAGACCAGGAATGCTTCAAGTCTGCGGTAAACTATGGATGCTCACCCTGGAAGTTCCTGAGGGAGATACACTTCTAAAGAACAGTGGTAAATGGAAACAGGAGACCACATTGCTGTTTGCCTGGCCAAGCTCTTTGGAAGGCTGTGCAGGAGCAGATGGCCCATCCTGAGGGACTATGAGAGCAGCCTTAGTGCAGGCACAAGACTGAGCTGTTCTTGTGATATACAGCTGTCCCTGCCCATCAAGGAGGATCTTGTATTTGGGCCTCCAGTCGAGGTCTTGAAATCTGACCTAGTCAGATATGGATTCTCTCTCAGTAAGGAATGTAGTGGACAGAAAAGTAAAGACCCTCAGAGTATCACTGTCACAGAGGCCTGTTACTCTCTATCCACCTTCCTTTTGTTAAATTCTTTTCATTTTTTCAATAATGGGAGAGTTTTTTTTTTTTTATTACAGTTTTTATTATTATTTTTTTAACTGTCAGAAGGTATATACACCTGCCAGAGAGAGAGGGAAAAAGCACTTCTTCAATGGGGCATGGTCACACCACAGTCCTTTCTCCATTTCTCCCTCCTGTCAAGATTTGGGGTACATGTGCGTGCGCACACGCGCACACACACACACACACACACGTATGTGGTTGGCATGTTTTTCAAGACACTGGGGCTGTCTCCTTCAAATCGCAGATAGCTGTTTGGGATCAGCTTTCTTAAGCACTAAGCCACAGTGCGGGCCCATTTGCCTACTTTTCAAGAAACCAAAGTATGCTATTTTTGTCCAGCATGTAAGCAGAAGGATCAAGGCATAGGTTTGTCACTGAGCTAGCTATAGGACATCTCCCTCACTCTTGCTTAACCCTGTAGTAAAGCAAGAGTGTGAATTGGACGAAGTGAGAGGATTTCTGCTTCTTTGCTATGAAATGGAGATACCAACATTGCTTGTAGGACTGTCATGAGGCCTATAGGAGATAGTGGGTATTTAGGAACCGTGCTCAGGTCCTGGTACCTGGTCCTTTAGGCCTCTTGACTCTCCTGATAATGACAGTGCCCTGCAGTGGTTGGTGACTTCCAAGCATTCAGGGCTTTGCAATGAACCCAGGTGGCCTGGGGAGGAGGGGTGTGGAGAGGGAGCCCAGGCAGCCATGCCAGCTGGCCTTGCGAGTTTGTAGGTGGGAACTGCTAGACATGAAGCGGATGTGTGAGTGATCTTTTCCTCTACACTGTGGTGTTTGAGAACTTTTCCTTTTAGGAGTAGTTTTGAAAATCGTGTGTGTGGGTGCAGTTTAATTATAGTCTCATTTTTCAAGTACGGCTACAGAGGGTTTGTTTTTTTCTTTAGCCACGCATCAGTTTCTTCAAAGAGCTCATCCCAGTCTGCAATTTCCAGAGTTCTGAAGTATTTTTAAAATAAAGTTGTTAGTCTCTTTGAAATCTGGGTGCGTGTGCTTCTTTTCAAACAGCAAACGATGACATGCAGGAAGAGAGCAGAGCATCTTTTACCCAGCTACACTCTGAGCTTTATCTTGTCGTCTTTTGTCATTTCCTTTAGTCCCTTCCCCTGCCGTAGTCAGTGGCTTTCTCAACCGCATTCGTGTATTCCTTTCCCTAGTCATCTCACTTCTGAGAGCTTTTCCTAAGGAAATCATTTAAATGCAGATAAAGCTGTATGCACAAAGATGTTATTTCACTTATTCATAAAAATAAAACTTTGGAGGAGACGACCTACACGTCAAATGAGGGAACTGGCGAAAGCTGGTGCATGCATGCCTACCGTGGAATATTAGTATTGTCATTAAAAATGGTGTTTCTAAGCTGGCTTAGTAAGAGGAGGGTTTATTTATTTTCTTTTTACATTTAATCATTGTATATCTTTACAGCATACAAAGATTTTGCTAGCATGAACACACTGCATGTTAGTCCAGTACTGACTTTCTTTCCATTTTCTCCCTCCACATTTTGGCATAGATACCACACTTGGAAGTGTTTCTAATAAAGACTAAGTGAAAAAAATGAAGTCGCAATATAGTATCTATGCCGAAACGTGGAAAAAGGAATGGAAGGAAACCCAATACCCTGACCGTAGGGGTCCCAAAAGGACAGTGATCTTCTTGATTCTGTTCCCCATTTCTTACAGGGAATCTATTTTCTGGTAGTATCGGCGTTTTGGAGAAGGAAGAAAGACCTGCGTCCACCGATGCCTTTGTGATTGCTTCTCTGCCTCAGTGCTGTCACCTAGAACTAGTGTCAGAGCAGTGCTAAGACGGTGTCTATAGTCTGAATGGTGCTCTTGGAAATCCTACTTTAAACACCCAGGGTTGTTATAAAGAGTGTTTAAACCAATGGAACAGTGCCTCTGCAGATGTCCAGGCAAGACATCATTAGGGAACATGTTTTTTTTAAATAATATTTTTCTTCTTTCTCAATGTTATTTCTGCTTCTAGGAAAATCGGTTGGAGTAGAAATGAGCACCCAGAATGAGCTGATAGAGAGGTGAGTATGCAGCATGGGCTAAGACGGCTTTCTGGGTTCAGTTGGCCTGTTAGGTTTTTAAATATTCCAGCTCCCACCCATTCTACTGGTTTCCTGCTTCTTGTAAAGAAGGCATGCGCATCTGTGGGACTGACAACACTGTGCAAAACCGTGGGCGTGGCCTTCATTCATTCATGCTGGGTTACTTGTGGCCTGTCTGTCAGGTGATTGGGACCAGTGATGGATTCCTTCGGTCAGCTGCAGGATGAATAGCAGACTTCCTAGCTGGCATTTGAGGCCCTTCTCAGTGTGACCATCTTCCCTCCCCTCCCCAACCTCCTCTTCCTCCATTCCCTGTTTCCGTCTTCCCCTTAACTCCCCTCTCTCCCTCCTCACACTTCAGTCTTACCTGACTGTATTGCGCCACACCACTGCTGTGCACAGGCTTACCCTCCACTCCCTTCCTCTTACAGTTTGGAAGTCCTTTTTCAGAGTCAGTGATGGAAAGGAACCTGGCTCTCCCCACTCTCCTACCTCTGCCACACCCAGGATCAGTTCTTCTCACGGTGGCATTTGGTGCATACTAACATTATAGCACTTATCACATAGTATTATAATACTTCACTTACTAATTTTTTACTTTGTATTACTTCATTTTTTTTAACTAAAAAAGTTTTTTTTGAATTGTCAAGAGGACACGTGTGCTCACCAGAGAGAGACAGGGAGAGCCAGGGAGGAGGCAAAGCACCACCCAACGGGGTGTGGTCACACCTCAGTCCTCTCCATTTCTCCTTCCTGTCGGGATTTTGGATGTGCATGTATACTTGCCTGGTGTGTTTTTCAAACCACTAGGCTGGGATTCAGACTGTGGTCAGCCATGTGGGATCTGGCTCCCATAATCTCTAGGCTGTGGGGCCCGCCCAGTGTAATAACACTTTCTGCATTTATCATTTCCCTCCCAGAATTCTTTAGTAATCTCTAGGCTATGGGGCCCACCCAGTGTAATAACACTTTTTGCATTTATCATTTCCCTCCCAGAATTCTTTAAAAGTGGAAAGGAGCACGGTAGAATTAACTGGATGTCTGTGTCAGCAGCAGTCGAAGGCATTTCACATTTATTACTTCTGACCTACAGGATGAGCATTTTTACTCACATTCTAGGACGAGGAGGTTGTGGGTCAGAGTTGTATCCTTGCCATTAGGGGCAGAACTGGGATTTGAACATGAGTCACTTGTACTTCAACTAGGGCACGTGCGCTCGCCAGACAGAGACAGAGAGACAGAAAGCTGGAAATCACCCACTGGGGGGGTGGCCACGCCACAATTCCTTCTCCTCCATTCTCCTCTCGGGATCTTGGGCACGCATGCACACATGCCCAGCGTGAGTTGAAGCCACCAGGTCCGGGACTCGAACTGTGGTCGACTACGTGGGAGTCCAGCGACATAGCCATTACGCTAACTACTGGTCCCAACACCTGTGCTCTCCTATCTCATTCTTGCACATTCCCGCTGTGGCTCCAAGTATCTGGCACGTAGTTGAATTTCAGAAAATGTTCCTGGGATAAAGGAATTGTGTGGTTTCTTAGCTTGCCTGTATGACCAGTTAGAAAAGCCAAGGCCTTTGTCCTCTCTTTAATCGTTAACCATTCTGAATGCTATTGATGCTGCTGTGTACTTTCCCTCTCTTATCTCATTCTTGCACATTCCCGCTGTGGCTCCAAGTATCTGGCACGTAGTTGAATTTCAGAAAATGTTCCTGGGATAAAGGAATTGTGTGGTTTCTTAGCTTGCCTGTATGACCAGTTAGAAAAGCCAAGGCCTTTGTCCTCTCTTTAATCGTTAACCATTCTGAATGCTATTGATGCTGCTGTGTACTTTCCTCCTCTTGGAGGTGTGACTTTTGGGACTTCTGAGGGTGGAGAAACAGAGACAGTCGAGGGTGAAGCCATTTAGATACTGCTAGCATCAGGAAGGCCACCAGAATTATAGACTGAGCAGGCAGGGTGGTGTCACGATTCACCGGAGGACATTCCAATAGGGTCTCTCTAAATTTAGAAGAACTCCTCCTCTCCCACTGCAGTCTTATCAAAGATCTCTCCCAGTTCAACCCTCCACGTCCATTCTTAGGATAACATATCACATTCTAGTGGCAGACAGTGTAGAGGGCAGGGACAGCTTCCCAAGGCAGAGCTTGTCTTAGCTGAGGTCTAAAGGATGGGAATCAAAGGGATCAGGGACTGTAGGAGAGTGTCCTTGCCTGAAGCGGGGGAGATTTGGCCCCTGTGAGCAGGGTAGCAGTGCAGAGAGGGTTGAGGCAGGTGGCCCTGGCAGGTGGGCTGGTCCTTAAGTGCGATGTGAAAGTCCAAATTCTCCCGGAAGAGGGGAGTCTTTGAAGGAGGCTCACCTAGGGCTAGATGCAATCAGGTTTGCCATTTTGGAAGACTACTGTGGCTACCTGAGAGTGGGTTGGAGGGAGGCAGAGAGCTCTTTTAGCCCTCTTCAACCAGGGTGTCACCCCTTTCCATTTCTGACAGACTTGTTTCTTTCCCTTCTCTTCTACCTTTTCCAGCTGCAGGCTTAGCACTCACATGGGTCACTACTAAGCTAATTAAATGGGTGCCCTTGGCCCGTTCTGCACTTTTGCAGGCCAGCAGCAAGCCTGCATATCCATCACGCTGTCTGGGCAAAGTTGCATCTGGTGTTTACCTGTTAATGAATGCCGTGCAGCTTCGGAGTCCTTTGCTCTTGTCTGAGCTCATGAATAATGAGACCGTGGCCACTGACGAGAATAGGAAAAAGTGGGAGGAAAAAAGAGCTTAAATTAAGGAACTTATCTGTAGTGGAGAATACGTGGACTTTTCACAGCATTCAGGTGGTTTTTCCTCACGGCTGAGGTGATCCTTGGGAAATGCAGGTTAATCACCAGATCACCAGAATGATGATATTGGGACCTGTCTAGGATCCACAAGGGTTTTGAGGTTATTGAATCTGTAAGGCCACTTCATGGTTTTGGGCTGGACTCATATATTCTTCTAGGGCCTTGGAGCCAAATGAGCCAGACTCAGATCTGAGTTGTGCCGCTTACAAGTTGTGGGGACCCTCAGTCTCCCCAACTCCAAGTGAGGATCATAATCCCCTTCTTGAAGGGTTTCTGTGAGGACCAAGAAGGATCAACGGTGCCTGGTACAGAGTTGGCGTTTGGCAAGCAGGTGTCAGTGACGTAGGCCCTCTCTTGGTGCTCCCGTATAAGCCAGTGCAGGACAGGCACAGTCCCCTCACTCCCTCTTTCTACTTGGCTCCGAACTCAAGCCCCTGGGCCCTTCTTGTTTTCTTTTACAGTGTCATTGCCTAATGCTGTAGAGAAACAAAAGGGCCGACTGAAGTTGTAAATATGGGATTTACAAAAGGCAGAGTAATCTAAGTGTTAAGTCACAATCCTGGCTTTTGATTTTAGTAAGAAAAATGTTTTACCTTTCAATTCCAATGGTTAAGGATTGAGGAAGACAACTTAACCGACCAGCATATTCTACCCGAGTCTCCTGAGCCTTCCACCTCTCATGTGTTGTCTGATTACGAAGCATCTGAAAAGTCTTCTTTCTTCTCACAAGACCAGAAGCAAGACAGTGAGGCCGAGAAGACTTCAGTTATAGCAAACGATTTTTCTCAAGGTGAGCTAAACTTTATTAACCATTTTAAACAGGACCACGTTTAGCTAATTTGGTATCTTGTCTTAGTAAGCAGGGTGTGGTAACATTTGGATATTCCTCTGGCCAAAGGAGATCTATGGGGTGCAAAGCTGGTCATTCAGTGTACCATTTGTCACTGGAGGAAGCTATGGTTGTTGAAAGTGTTGGTGACTGGCAAGTCTTTTATTTATTTATTTATTTTTTAAGCTTTAGTATATGGTGTATGTGCTTGCTGAAGAGAGAGAGATAGGGACAGAGAGAGAGAGAGGGAGAGAGAGAGAGAGACAGACAGACAGACAGCACCCTCCAGAGGGGAATGGCTATGCCGCAGTTTGTCCTCTTCCATTCTCCTCTTGGCATTTTGGATGTACATGTACAAGTGCCCAGCATGTTTTTCAAGTCTCTGGATCTGGGACTTGAACTGTGCACATGGCCATATGAAATCCAGCTGCCTTAACCTCCATGCCATCTGCTTGCCGTCATTTTATTTTTTAAATGATGACTTAATATATGACTTGCCATCCCTGTGCCTTCCTACCCGTGGCAGGCTGGAAAGCACTGAGGTTATGTGTCAGTGCAAGTTTCGGTAATCTTATTGCCTCTTAGAAACTTGTCCTAAGGAAGGGTCAGCTTAAAGACTCTTCTGCGTTGAGTTGTACTGATGCCCAAGAGTTCCTGACCCCCTCTTCTAATATTTTTGTATAAATAGAAAACCTGTGATTATATAAATCTGCTGCATTTCCCTCTGGTATGACCCTTGACTTGTTGGGTCAGGCCCTTTGTTTTAGTCTTACTGCTATAAGAGAACACCGTAGACTGGGTGGCTTATAAAAAGTCACAATGGAAAACAATGCAGAAATCTGTTTCTCACAGGCTGTGAAGTCCAAGATCAGGGTTTAGCCAGCATGGTTGGGCTCCGGAGGCCGCCTTCTAGGTTGCAGACTGTTTGCTGTCTTCTCATTGTAGTCTCAGATGGAGGAAAGAGGGCAAGAGAGATCTGGGTCCCTTTTTTTTTTTTTATTTACTTTTTTTTTTTTTGGAGAGGTTTTCGCTATAGGGCGTGTGCACTCGCCAGACAGAGAGAGACATAGAGACAGAAAGTGAGCTAAAAGCTCTGTGTTGACACTCAATCACATAGATCATTGCTTTTGAAATTCGTAAATCTTTTTATAATGACAGGGCCCATTTTTTTCAGATGAAAATTTACAGGGAGGCCCCAATTATATATAAGAGAGACACCCAGATTCCAGAGAAACACAGTTGGGGACACGCCGAGAGTTTGAAGTGTACATTCCCAGTATACCTCAGGTCAGCTGGGTCCTCCTGCTGCCCGTCTTGGAGCTGATTGCTTTGTATTCCTGGTTGCTTTCCTCTGTGATTCTTGTGAGCTCCTGAGTATTTACTTTCTCTTAGTTATTTCTGGATCTCTGTTCTGCCTCCCTCGAGGGAGAGAGAGAGAGAGACAGACAGACAGACAGCACCCTCCAGAGGGGAATGGCTATGCCGCAGTTTGTCCTCTTCCATTCTCCTCTTGGCATTTTGGATGTACATGTACAAGTGCCCAGCATGTTTTTCAAGTCTCTGGATCTGGGACTTGAACTGTGCACATGGCCATATGAAATCCAGCTGCCTTAACCTCCATGCCATCTGCTTGCCGTCATTTTATTTTTTAAATGATGACTTAATATATGACTTGCCATCCCTGTGCCTTCCTACCCGTGGCAGGCTGGAAAGCACTGAGGTTATGTGTCAGTGCAAGTTTCGGTAATCTTATTGCCTCTTAGAAACTTGTCCTAAGGAAGGGTCAGCTTAAAGACTCTTCTGCGTTGAGTTGTACTGATGCCCAAGAGTTCCTGACCCCCTCTTCTAATATTTTTGTATAAATAGAAAACCTGTGATTATATAAATCTGCTGCATTTCCCTCTGGTATGACCCTTGACTTGTTGGGTCAGGCCCTTTGTTTTAGTCTTACTGCTATAAGAGAACACCGTAGACTGGGTGGCTTATAAAAAGTCACAATGGAAAACAATGCAGAAATCTGTTTCTCACAGGCTGTGAAGTCCAAGATCAGGGTTTAGCCAGCATGGTTGGGCTCCGGAGGCCGCCTTCTAGGTTGCAGACTGTTTGCTGTCTTCTCATTGTAGTCTCAGATGGAGGAAAGAGGGCAAGAGAGATCTGGGTCCCTTTTTTTTTTTTTATTTACTTTTTTTTTTTTTTGAGGGGTTTTTGCTATAGGGCGTGTGCACTCGCCAGACAGAGAGAGACATAGAGACAGAAAGTGAGCTAAAAGCTCTGTGTTGACACTCGTCCCTTTTTTTTTTTTATTTACTTTTTTTTTTTTTTTTGAGAGGTTTTTGCTATAGGTTGCGTGCGCTCGCCAGACAGACAGAGAGAGACATAGAGACAGAAAGTGAGCTAAAAGCTCTGTGTTGACACTCAATCACATAGATCATTGCTTTTGAAATTCGTAAATCTTTTTATAATGACAGGGCCCATTTTTTTCAGATGAAAATTTACAGGGAGGCCCCAATTATATATAAGAGAGACACCCAGATTCCAGAGAAACACAGTTGGGGACACGCCGAGAGTTTGAAGTGTACATTCCCAGTATACCTCAGGTCAGCTGGGTCCTCCTGCTGCCCGTCTTGGAGCTGATTGCTTTGTATTCCTGGTTGCTTTCCTCTGTGATTCTTGTGAGCTCCTGAGTATTTACTTTCTCTTAGTTATTTCTGGATCTCTGTTCTGCCTCCCTCGAGTTTGGATCAAATCATGAATTGTCTCCCCGCCCCTTATGCCACCTCGTTCTGCACTCTATCAATCCCGTGTGCAAATCATCTCCTTTCCAAAAACCCCTTGAGGCCACTCTCACAAGATTTGACTCAACTGAGGAACCCGAAAGAGGGGGTCAGTTACAATGTGGCAGCCCAGATACTGGGTCAGCAGGGAAGTCCTGATGTATTTTTTTTCTGTTTTTTTATGCTAAAGTGGATCATGAATTTTTTGC